TATATACACACACACACATATATATATATACACACACACATATATATACACACACATGTATATATACACACACACACATATATATACACACACACACACATATATACACACACACACACATATATATATATACACACACACACACATATATTTGTGTGTGTGTGTTTATTTTTTTAAGAGAGTAGCAGACATTTTACAAATAAGGATACATTATGTAAAGTTTAGGGGTAAGAAAAGACTTCATAAATTGGGGAACTATATCACATTTAGCTACAAAAAGATTTGCTTTCTTAGCTCAAAAAAGGTAAAAAAAAAATTTGCTTTTTTAGCTCAAAAAAGGTAAAAAAAAAAAGTTGGTTTTGTATGGTTCAATCTAAATAAGATGATCTTCTATTTTTATTTTTTTGTTTTTTTTTTTGAGAGGTTTTTCACTATAGGGTGCGTGCGCTCGCCAGACAGACAAAAGACAGACAGAGAGACAAAAAGCGAGAAATCACCCCCCAGGGGGGATGGCCACGCCGCAATCCCTTCTCCTCCATTCTCCTCTCGGGATCTTGGGCACGCACGCACACGCGCCCACATGAGTTTTAAGCCACCGGGTCTGGGGCATGAACCATGGTCGACTACGTGGGAGTCCAGCAACATAGCCATTACGCCAACTGCTGGTCCCAAGATGCCCTTTTAAATCTTTGTTAACAAGTAAAAGTGGAAATCCTGACTCTCGATTTCTATAAAATCTTTACAGAGTCTACCTTTTGGGAAACAAATGGAGTTTAAACGTGTGTGTTAGAGATAACCTTAACTGCAATTTTGGAACAAAAGTTAACATTAAAATAAATTTCTCTAGCGGTCAGGATTACTGCTGTCTGGTCCGTTCAGTCCTTATCTCATTTGGAAGTGTTAGCAGCAAGAACTGTTAAGGGGTAGAAACTGTGGGCTGTTGAACAGGCGGGGCTTCGGAGTGTCTGTGAGGACTTCCAAATGAAGCTCCTGTGGATGCTGCTTTAGGACTTCGGAGTGTTGGAAGCTAGAAGTCAAGGCTGAGTCTTTTTCCAGGCTGGGTCCAGCTGGTTGTGGGTGATTTCAGGTATTCTCTGAAGGTTTGGGGTTGAAGGGTCCATCCCCGGAGTGGCAGAGTACCGCAGTGAGAGAGCTCCAGGGCCCGGCCAGGAAGGCTGGTGCAGGCTCTGCGTCCTTGCTCCATCAGCCTTTCCGAGTATTTACCGTGCGCTCTCCTCCCTGGCCTCGTGGAGCTCTCAGGCTCAGGCCTCTCCTCCCTGCTCCCCTGCTCAGGCGCTCTCTCCTCTGGCTCCGGCCTTAGCACGTCACCACGGGCCGATGATGCCCAGATTCTGTCTCCAGCCCTGACCATGGCCCCGATCCCCAGAGTCATGGTCCAGCAGCTTGAGGTCAAAGTGCTGGGGTCAGAGTGGACCCTGCAGTTAGACACCTGGCAGGCCCCTGGCGGTCACGTCCCGCCTTGAGCAAGTCCTGTAACATCCCAGCATTGAGGGAGTTGTTACATCCATCGGTAAAACAGAGGATGCCGACTGGTAAGATGCTCGTCATTAATACTAGGCCTGAAGCCACCGACTTCCATGTAATGAGGACTGAAGGTTTAACGCGAACAAAACACATTGTCCATTTTCTCCTCATCCTGCTCCCACTCTGCCTTTGCCACGTATTAACTGACTCCAGCCTCTCTGTTCAGTTGCTCAGGCCCCAAACTAGAGGTTTTCCCTGATTCTTTTTTAGCTCTTCATCCGCCATAGCCAGTCCCTCTCTACCTGTCTTCAGACTCTCTGGACTCTCCGATTCTCTCCATCTGCACTGCCATGCCTGTCAGCGTGGATCGCCGAGCACCCCAGCGCCCTCCGGTGGCCACTGCATCCCAGGCGCCTCTGTTAGCTCCTCAGACCGGTTGAGCTCAAGGACCTGCCAGGGCTCTGTTACCTGTTGTCACCCCTGCCATGCAGATGCCAGCCCAGACCAGAGCCTCCCAGAGAGAGAGAGCCTTGTTACTACCCCTGCACGAGTAACCGTGCCCCAGCACTTGTTCTGTTTTTTCATATCCTGCCCTTTTCCCTGTAATCGCACTTGTTCTCATACTTCCTCCCCAAAAAGCGTGCTTCATGTGAAGAATGCAGAAACTCTTTTAGTCTTAAGGCACTCATTGTGTCTAAATGAGTTCTTTAACAGTGCTTGGCATGTAATTTAACAAGTGTTGTGTGAATGAGTGTTAAATAGCCTAGCAATTTTGGAAGCTAGGCACCTTTTAACACAAGGAGCCACAGCCTCACATTTGGTGTTACTTACCCGTGTTCACAGACTGCCAGTGTCAAAAGCAGGGTTCCAATCAGATTTTTGAATCAGTGTCCACCACCTCTAGTTGGAACAGGTCCAGACCAATAGACAAAGTAGTTTCTAGCTGAACATGCCCTGAATGCTCTCTGGATTCCTTCCATGTCATCTTTTATTTGGGAGTTGAGAAAAAGACAGTGCCAAGAAGCGATTTCATGGCAGGCCAGTAGGTATGTGCCAGGAGACTTTTGAATCAGGCTAAGGGTCTATTTAAAAATGTATCTTCCACTGCGGGCTGTGTCCAGTAGGTGACCAGGGGATGGATGTGTGTGCAGGGCTGGACCCTCAGAGCTTGTGGGGCAGCAGTGGGAGGGTGGAGACAGCCACGTGCATGTGCCGGAAGAGTCAGGGTTCCACGCATTATGACAGAGGTGGTTAGGAGAGGGGTATCTTATGGATCTCTAGAAAAGATAAGTGAAGAGATGAGAGAAATAAATGAAGATTTAATGCTGTTTCAGTGAGAAGGGTTATGTTTATTCTGATATTTGGAAGGATCCTTTAACAGTCTTCTTTCCACAGGGATGGAAAGCAGGAGGAGTGAATCTGGGGTAGGGCGTGGAGGGGGCGTAGAGAGCTGTTTCTCTGCATGTGAAGTGCTGCAACAGGCCACAGAGCAGAGTGTGGCTCTAGGGTTTATGCATCTGGGGAGACAGGGGTGAGCAGGTAGGAGTCACGTTCCAACTCTGATATATTTGATGCAAAGTGAACATCAGTAACTTAATGAAAACTTAAGAAATGTAGCAAAATTTCTTTGGTTCATGGCAGGATTTCTAATGGCCCTTTGCCATGAACCAGCTCTACATGCTGATTTACAGAATGAAAGGTAGAAGCTGTGGGTGCACATACATGTGTGCGTAATAGCTTTAGGGTTTCAGACTGAGGCAGTTGTTCAGGGTTGCTTTTGAGTTTTTAAATCCATAGTACTTCTCATATGATTTAGACATCAAAAAGTACGAAAGGATTTGTAGGATAGTCTCTCACCTGTTCTTGTCCTCTGAATCTTAGTTCTCATTACCTTGTTTCTAAATTACTGTCTATCCTTCCAGAGATTTTTTATGCATGTACATGATGGCACACATACTGCACACACCTGTCCATTTTCCTCAGTACCCAGAAAGGTACTGAGCACATAAGTACCTGGGAATCTTCGTTAGATGAAAGCCAGTGTTTTTATGCTCTTTGTGATTTCTGCTGTTTGCCAAGAAGCACACACTTTTGTTCTGTATAGAAACGGACAATAATGTTTTCTTTGTCATCTTTTCTTTTTGCTTTTAGCCCCCTGTGCGGTCAGGAATCTGCAAGACTTGGCTCGGATTTACATTCGGCGCACACTTAGGAATTTCATCAATGATGAGATGCAGGCCAAGGGGATTCCACAGCGGGCTCCACCCAAGAGGAAAAGAAAGAGAGTCAAACAGAGAATTAACACTTATGTGTTTGTGGGCAACCAGCTCATTCCTCAGCCTCTAGACAGCGAGGAGGATGAAAAAATGGAAGAAGATAACAAAGAGGAGGAAGAGAAAGATCACAGTGAAGCCATGAAGCCAGAGGAGCCACCTCAAAATCTACTGAGAGAGAAAATCATGAAGCTGCCCCTCCCTGAATCTTTAAAAGCTTACTTGACATATTTTAGAGACAAATAAGGAGAAAGAATACCTACTGATAATTCCTTTAGTCTTGAAAAATGTAGTGTTTATTAGAAGTTAAAAGAGAGAATTCTTTCTTTCATCAGAGCGAATTATAGTGGGGAAAAAAAGTATAACTTGTCTGTGTCAGTAACAAAAATGATGTGTTCAGTGATTTAAAAAGAATCCCTTTTATAAAATCTATTTTTCTTTAAATGTTGGGAGAATGCTGTTTTAAACTCAGAGTGATCGCGAAGTGGAATGCAACTATAGTCAAGACTGTACTGTAAATTCTTCCCTGACTCCTTAGAGATTTGTAGTGGTGAGGGTTATATTTAATTTTATATAAGGTTTAAAAGATTGTTAAGCATATATAATCTGATTCGAATTGCACTTGTTTGCATTTCCTTTACGAAAACTTTCTTACCGGATAAGGAACTCCAATGCTTTGTAGACCTGTTTACCTTCCTTTTGTCGCAGCCGCTCTAGCCGACTTGCTATAGATCTATTCCGGGCAATATATGAGTGCAATAACAGTACAAGAGATGGAATAATTTAGCTTTAAAAAAAAATCATGAGATTTTACAGCCCAGGCCAAATTTTTTTTGTAATTTTTGCTACAGGGTGTGTATGCTCATGAGAGAAATGGGGCTGGGGTTGTTGAAAAGTCACCTGCTGCTGGGGATGGCCACCCCGCTGTCCCTTCTCCTCTTGGGATTTTGGGCACTCACATCCATGTGGTCGGCATGTTTTCTTCAAGACATGGGTCAGGAATTGAACCGCCCTGTCGGCCATGTGAGATCCAGCGCCCCTACCACTGTGCCACGGGCCGGCCCCGGTCCTGCTACTTTTTTTGCTTTAGAATCTTTTGCCAAAAGACACGGGGAGATACCTGCTTCTATCACCAAGATTCTAAGAGCACAGCAAGTGAATAGTGAAGTAGGAAGTATATGCTTAATCCAACTCTCAGTTTGTATGGGCCCTTTACGTTTTCAGTATTGAAAAATGGTCAGGTTATCTTAGTCTCTAGAATTTTAAGAGGTAGTATATTTAGGATCTCCTTTTTCTCTAGTTCATTATATAAAGTATTCGCTTTGAAAAAAGCCCCGCTGTCCTGTGTGCCCCCGGGCAGCGCGGTCGTGGGCAGCGTGAGGGACGCCGCTCCCGGAGCACGTGCAGGGCCGGGCAGCAGGCAGGGCGGGCGGGGCTGCAGATGCACTTTAGCGCATGGAGCTTCTGGTGTTCCGAGTGTTGATCTGACAAGGAGGGCTCAGCTTGCCTGGATCTGCTGTGGGTCTTTCTAGTCTAAGAAACAGTCACAGAAATTACACGTAGAGGCCTTTTGTTTGGAACATCCAGCTTAGAGTCGTAGTGTAATCTTTGGGACCTGCGAGATGTTCATTATTCCCATATTCTCTTAATGTTTCTTCTGGTAGGTGTTTAAAGGTTTTCGTTGTTTGCTTACTGTCACACACTTAAGCTATTCATTTGAATTTTGTTACAGCGTATCAGCGATCAGACAGGAATCATTTGTTTTCCTAGCAAGGCCTGGCAGCAGTCGTTCCCTGTTTAGAACACAGTGTGACGTGCGTGCTATCAGTGCTGCGTGGACCATGACCATTCAAAGGGAAAGCACAGGCGGCACGGCGCCCGCCACCCGCGCCACCGTCGCAGTAGGTGCCCAGATCTGCTGAGGGAAACCCAGTCCGTGTGGAGTGAAAGGTTACCACCATTCTGCTGAGGTTCAGTTGCTTCGAAAACCTCAGTGCTTGATGATTCCACACGGCTGAAGAGAGAGATTTGATAGAGTCAGAAGCATGAAATTTTCCCAAGTAATTAAGTATATTTTAGTAATGCGAAAGACGATTTCACGGAGAGCGCTTGTGTCGTACGGTGGCTGGAGGGTGGCACTGGGGGTATCGTACAGTTTTTTGATGATGATGAAGCTGTTGTCAGGAAATGGCCATCCAATTTCTGTCTAGGAAAAGATCCATTTCATTCAGTTGTCATCTGTTAGAAATGTTCATTGTGTTTCGAACTCGTTGTTTGGGAAGTTGATTCTTGAATTCTCAGTGCCCACATATTTCTATTCAGAAAACCTGGGGAGAGTTACCCTGGCATCTCCTCACTCCCCCACTGTTTCTGTTGTTGTTGTCAGAGCTGATATCTAGATATGCAGAGATCCATAAACGGTTTTACTGCTTAGAGTGTTTGTTATGGATATATTTGAAGGTTGACTTTTTCATACTGTCATTCTGTTGACATTGGTAAAATGTATAGTAGATTTTCATGATCATCACATTTTTTTGTCATTAAAATGTATCTTTTGTGTTTTTAAATGCATTCATTTCACAGTTGTGACTTTATCATTGACTAAATAAAGAGGTAGAAACAAATGAAAATTCAGATGAAAAGCCTTTTTAATCAATGTGGATATATTAAAATAAGAATATTTTGGGTTCGTGTTTATTTTTTCGTGAATTCATGTTTACTTGAGTATGAAGAGTGTGCTTTAGTCAGGTGGAGGAGTGTGCAGATCGGATAAGCAGCAGTAAGCGCGCCATGGGGACACAGTCGTGGGATACGCAGCCAGGAGCAGCAGCGCCCACCTGTTCTACGCCTTTGTTTTGCAGATGGGAAAATAGCCTAGGGGTGGCACCTCTCGCCTGGGTCGGACAGCCAGTGAGAGCAGAGACGGTCTGGAATGGTGCAGTGCCAGGTAAATCCCAACACTGTCCACAGCAGGGGAGCCACCGAGAACATCATTCTGCTCCGTACTGCTTACTGGTCGAAAGACTACTCAGTTTTCGTATTAATGAAGAGATACTATTAAAATGGTATACTTAGTAGTTAAAATAAAATACAAACATATCCGTGTTGATTTCTAGCTATCTGAGATGATAAAAGCAAAGCCTGTTAAATCATTTTAAGACTTGGGAAATTATTTTAAATAAACAATTGCATATAATGAAGCATCATTCTCCAGTGGCCTGGCTTTTCTTTTCTCCTCTCCTTTTTAAATGTCCACTGTCCCAGGACACCTGCCAACACGTGGAGAATTATGGTACACGGCCGTCTGTGATTGGACACCTCCCTCCCTCCTGCCTGTGGCCATCCCTGGAGTACTGTGCAGCTGACTTGCAGAGTGTGTAAAGTTTGCACAGAGAACCAGGAATAGCAACCAGCGTGTCCACACGGAGAGTGCATGCGGTAGCCTGACTGCTAGTGTCCCTATCACCTGGTGCCCTCCCAGTCCCAGCGTGGTCCCACCCTTGTCAGGGCTTTCGTGTTCTTCATGATCTTACTTGTCACTGTCATTTCACTACAAGCTCATCTTTGTAGAGTGAACGATTTGCTTTCATTCATGCTGGACTCATGCTGCACAGATTCTCCCAGAGCCCCCGGTTCACGTTTCCTTTCTGCCATTCATCCTGTTGTGTCTAGTTGCATTCCCAGCTCGGTTGCCTCAGCTCAGACGGTCCCATTTGTCTCCCTCAGTGCTGTAACCGTATATGTCCCTTCAGCAGTGTTGAAATATTCTGGTCGTTCCACATCCTCACCTACACTGGACAGTGACTTCTGCCTGTGTTTGGTAGGGTGAAGGGTCTTAGAGGAACTGGGTCACTTATTGAGGAGAGTATAAAAGATCATAAAATCTTTCCAAATACTTCCTGGTTTTAGATTTCTTTCTTTTTTTTTTTTTTGAGAGAGAGAGTTTTGTTAAAGGTTGCATGTGCTCACTGGAGAGAGAGACAGAAAGCGAGAAGTCACACCCCCGGGATAGCCATACTGCAGTCTCTTCTCTTCCACTCAGAATTTTGGGCACACACACCTGCCCCAGCATGTTTCAAGCCTCTGGGTTGGGGTCCAAACTGTGGTCGGCCGCGTGGAAGCCCAAGTCCTGTGCCTTAGCCACCATGCCACCTGCTAGCCCAGGTTCCCTTTTCATAGAGTGCCACTGGTACAAAGTTTCTATTGAGTAGTTTTCTTTTTTATTTTTAAGAGTTATTTAATTTTATCTTAAAATTTGCTGCAGGTCATGTGCATGAGACAGAGACAGAAAGGGAAGGCTGAGAAAAGCAAGCTGCCAGGCCGCAGTTGGTCATGTGGGAGTCCAGCACCTTGACCACCACGTCGCCTGCTGGTCCTGGTAGTTTCCTTCTGAAAGTCGACAGGAGCTCACTCCGTAGTCTCGATATGAACCCATGGCCAGTTTTATGTGTTTCAAATACCTTCTCAGTCCACGGTGTCTGTACGCGTTCTGTTTATGTCTTTGAATTGGCATTTTCAGTTTTAATTTTTAGAATTCACCTCAACCTGTTATTATTTTGTCCGAAGTGGACATGTGTTGACCGGAGAGAAAGCACACCCTGGCGAGGGCCTTGGCTGTGCTGCAGTCCCTTTTCTCTACACGTTTGCATCTTGTCAGGATCCGGGGCATCGTTCACATCCCTGACATGGTTTTACTTATTTTTTTGTAGAGGTTTTTGTCTTAGGGCATTTTATGTTCGCCAGAGAGAGGGAGAGAGAGAGAGAGAGAGACAGAGGGAAAGTGAGAAATCACCCCCCCAGAGGGAATGGCCATGCTGTAGTCCCTCCTCCACTCTCCCCTCAGGATACTGGGCATGCACGCACACTCGCCCGGTGTGAGTTTCAAGCCACTGAGTTTGGGTCTCAACCTTCCGTTGGCCATGTGAAGGTCCAGTGACGTGACTGCTACATCCTCTGCTGGCCCCACCTCACGTGGTTTTTAAGTCCCCGGAGCTGGGATTCCAAGTGCAGTTGGTCGTTGGGGCCTAACTCCGAGTGCACAGTGTATTAACCACTGTGCTGCGGGGCTAGCCCCCTTTTTTTCAGCCACTGTAAAGAGTGAGCAGCCGAGAGAATGAGAAGCACTGTCCATGGGCTGGTCACGCCACAGTCCCCGTCCTGCAGCCCCCCAACTCCCCAGCCCACAGATCCTGAGCACTCTTTTTTTTTTTTGGAGAGGTTTTTTTGCTATAGGGCACATGCACTCGCCAGACAGACAGAGACGGACAGAGAGACAGAAAGCGAGAAAGCACCCCCCAGGAGGGATGGCCACGCTGCAATCCCTTCTCCTCCGTTCTCCTCTCGGGATCTTGGGCATGCACGCATACGTGTCTGGTGTGAGTTTAAGCCACTGGGTCCGGGACGCAAACCACGGTCGACCACGTGGGAGTCCAGCGACATAGCTATTACGCCAACTGCTGGTCCCCAGATCCTGGGCACTCTTGTGTGAACCCAGATGTGTCGAGGCGATCCAGCCCCGGGAGTTGAACCCGATTGCAGCTCCATGGTCTAGCATGCTACCAGTTGCATCACGGGCTCGGCCTAATACATGTTTTCTTACAGAACAATTCTGTCGTTTTTGTCTTTCGTGCCTAAACCTGCAGTATACCTGGAACTGACCTTGGTGGTGAGACATGGCGATCCAGTTCCTTTTTGGTTTCCATTTTTTTATCAGCTGTTTCAGGATTACTTTTTTTTGGTGAGAGGGTGTGTGTGCACCTCAGAGAGAGAAAGCAGCCCCAGCGGGGTGTGGCCACACTGCAGTCCCTTTTCTCCTTACTGTTGGGATTTTGATCACACACGCACACATCTGTGTGTGTCTCAAGCGCAGAGACCAGGATTCGAACTGCACAATCAGCCATGTGGGATCGGCCTACGTAATCACCAGGCCATGAGGCTGTTGCAGGGTTATTTTTTGAAGTCTGTTTTCCTTCTCTGATCTGCAGTGCTTCCTTTGTAATAAGTTAGGTTTCATGTACGTGTGTGCTGCACGTACGCCCCCCCCCCCCTTTATTAGTCTGTCCATGTACTGACTCCACAGTTTCAGCTGCTGCAGACACGGTAATTCTTGATCTCTTGGGGTTATTGGGAAAGTCGACGCATTTTTGCATAGAGAAAATATATCATGATCTTCCAGATGACCTAATAGTAAGATAAATCCCTTTAACATTTATTCTAGGAGTTTCTTGCCTATTCTTGGGCCTGTAGACTTTGATGCGAATTTTAGAATCAGCTTCTCAGATCTCTCTCTCTCTCTCTCACACAGACCCCTTTGAGATTTTCTTGAGAATCACGTTGAATTCAGAGGTGAGATTATGCAGGAACTAACTGCGTGACATGGAGTCTTCCAATCCGTGAATATGGTACTTGGCTCTCCCGTTTGACCTAATTGTTTCTAGTTTGGCTCTAAGAGCTGACATCTTTTATTAGATTTATGTGTAGCTATTTTAGTTTTTCAATGCTGTTGTATTCTTATTAAAAATGTATTTTACTCTTCGTTGATTTTATATATTAAGTCCACTGTTGTTTCTTATGGTTCTGCATTTCCTACCTAGACAGTGATACCTTTAAGTGAGTTTTAGGCCTAGTCACTGCGGTACAGTAGTAAGCTAGCAGAGTGCCGTGCTGAAAGCCATGTGGTGACCGCAGTCGAGAGTCTAGGCTGGCCTGAAAAGCCTGCTGCGTGCGTGCACAGGTAGCCAGCGTTCTGACGGCTGGAGGGCTGGAGAAGAGCACGGTAAGACAGGACCCTGGTGGGGTGCTCTTTCTCCACTCTGCTGTCCACGGGCTGGCCTTTATTTTTTTCTCTAGGCTATGGTTTTTTATTTTACCAGGTGTTCTGGTTGGGGTCTCCAGAATAGTGCCTAGGAGAAGTGATGGCCCAGAACCCCTTATCTCTGGTTTATTGCACCGTATGGTCTTTTCTTTCTTTCTTTTCCTTCATTTACCAGTGGATGTGTACACGCACGAGACACGGGGAGGGAGAGGGAGAAAGCACCCCGACTCCCACACCCCCGGCAATGAAATATGATCACACTACAGTCCCTGCTCACTGCGCACCCTGTTGGGATTTTGAGCACTCGTGCACGCGTGCTTCGTGTATTTCAAGCTGCTGAGGCTGGGGCTAGAACCATGTTGACCATGTGGGATCTGACTGTCTCAACCACCAAGCCACAGAGCCAGCCTGGCCATTTTTTATAAATAACTTGGTGTGTTTAAAAGAATAAATACATACTCTCCAGTGGTTCAGTATGGTGTTCTGTTAATGTCGGTGGGATATGTTTTAAAACTGTGGTGGTCAAACCTAGCGTAGCCTAAGTAAATTTTTGTGTATGTGACCACATCACCTATCAGTTGCTGAAAGATAATGTGGCGGGATCAGCAGTTGATGTAATGGCTATGTTGCTGGACACCAATGTGGTCGGCCGTGGTTCGAGTCCCAGATCCAGTGTCTTAAACTCATACCGGGCATGTGTGTGTGCATGCCCAAGATCCCGAGAGGAGAATGAAGGAGAAGGGATTGTGACATGGCCATTCTCCTTGGGGGGGGGGG